AAAAAAAAAAAAAAAAAAAAAGATCCATGTCCTGTTAAAAACAATGGAGCCAGAGTAGAGAACCAAGAAATAAATACAAAAGTAATGGAAGTTGGTGTATAACAAACGTGGTATAAACATATCAGTGAAGAAATGACTCAAGAATGAAACTGAAAAAGAAAATCTCTACCTCACACTATACTTTTAAAAATACTAGTAGATGGAGTAAAGATCTAAATATTAAAAAAGCATATTTGGAAAATTTAAGAGAAAATATAGGGAAAAGATTTTTTATGCCATGAAGTAGAGAATTATTTCTTAAAAACAAAAGTGACTTGACTACTTTAAAATAAAACTTGTAAACATTGAAATACTTCATAAATAAAGGTACACAAGGTGCAGACCTTGAAAATATATTTTTAATACATATAACTGGGTTTGTATTTAGAATATATAAAGAATTTTATGTATTCATACAAAAATAGAAAAATAGGTATATAAATAGATGGAAGAGGAAATCCTTATAGTCAGCATAAACAGGTATTTCTTGCTATCTGGAACTCAAGAATGAAATAGATCCAGATAAATTTATTTATTTGTCAATACTTTCTAAGTACCAATTACAAGCTAAGTTTTCAGAAGGTTAAGAAGACCTAGGCAGTCTGTTCCCTGACAAAGGAGGATTCATGAATGTCTCTAAGACATGGAGTCCATTGACCTGATTTTCCTTACCTTCCCTTCTATTACTAGTCCTTTTACCTATCAGCTGCTGGGTTTTGTGATAACTCAAGGCTCTAGGCATGTCCTTCTCTCTCATCAGAACAAGGAATTCTCAGGTTGAAATGTAGATGGAAAGCAACCGAGCTATAGAAATCTATCTTTCTGAAAGAACCCTCCTTCTAAACTGCCACCTTTGTTGAAGCAGTGCTCAGATCAAAAGTGTTTGTTGATGGAATGAATGAATAAATGATTAAAGAACTAATGAAAAGGGAAATGAAGGAGCTGTGGGAGGAAACCTAGTTTAGTAGCAGTATACTCTGACTCTTGGGTTTGGGTGTCTACTTGAATATAAAATACTTGAAATTTTTAGCTGTGAGGTCTTCCTAAATGCTTTCCCTTTTGAACTTTTATATATATTTTTTTATTTATATATTTAAATAAATTTATAAATATATGTATATTTTGTCATAATATGAAAATGGAATTCTGTATACCCAATGTATAATGTCATTATTTGAAAATGGAATTCTATACACCCAAATCAACAAAAAATGGCAAACATTCATTACAGTGCTAAGTATCGGTGAGGGTATTAAAAACAGGAATAGGAGAAATATAATCTGTCACACCACCTTACTTATCTCTTGCTGTATAACAAATTATCCTAGAAGTTAGTGGCAAAACAAACATTTACTTCATACTTTCAGTGAGTCAGGAATCCTGGCACAGCTTAGCTGAATCCTTTCATTGTCTCTCTGAGGCCTTCATCAAGGTGTTGACCCTGAGCAGCAGTCGGATCCACATTTTACTACAGCAGAACACATTTTAAATATACATAGTTCATCTGTAAAAAGTACTTTAGAATGTATTTCCAAATGACCATGATTTTTAAAATATATAACTGTGCCACCAATATATTTGTTAAACTGACCTTGATTTCTTAATATCATCAACTATCTAGACAGTAATCATAATTTCCTGATTAGTTCTTAAATGGAAAATAAATTATCTCTAGTTCATAATTGAGGGCAGAACAGAATTTCTGTCCTTTTTCCTCTTCAGGGTACTTCCTGCTACCTAGAAAAAATTGGACAATTCTCAGGAACCAAAGAAAACCAATGTTAGTAGAGTACTATCCTTTCTTTGTGTTCTCTTCCTCAGATACAGTTGGTCCCGCCTGGACAGATCCAGATCCAGGGTGGGCAGGCTGTGCAGGTACAGGGCCAGCAGGGCCAAACTCAACAAATCATCATCCAGCAGCCCCAGACAGCCGTCACCGCTGGCCAGACTCAGGTAATTCCACTAGCTCTGTCAACACAGGAGCACAGCTGATTTGGAAGAGTCAGATGACTGAGTCACATGTTTCACATATTATAGAAATGGGGAAGGAAACCATCAAAAATGTTTTCTTTTATAAAAGAACCACATGGTTCTTTTCTTGTTGGTATCTTTGGAATCTGTTAGATTGTATCATTATTTTTTATAGACGCAACAGCAGATTGCCGTCCAGGGACAGCAGGTGGCACAGACTGCTGAAGGACAGACCATTGTCTATCAGCCAGTTAATGCAGATGGCACCATTCTTCAGCAAGGTAAATGTGTGCATAAGTTTCTCTGGGACTTCTTGGGGCATCTTTTTTGCCTCTTAGACAACTGACTGCTTCAGAATTTTAGTGGTAAACTCTTCACAACATATTTTTTGGACCAAAAATTTTCCTCGAAGACTTTGTTAATTGTTGATTTCTTGTCACCATATATTACCAATACCAATTCCATTTGTAGGAGTTTCTACAATGGTTGTTAAAAGACGGTCCTGGGGATTGTGTAAGCTTTAAATGCTGTTAGGGAAGAAATGTTTCTAATTAGAAGATTGGAAATAGGGAGTTTTTTTATTGGTAAAGGGAGAAATAGGTTAAAAAAAATCAAATTGGCTTTAGAATGTTATTATAACACTTAGAAAGATGAGTTCTTTTCTCAGTGAGCCTCTGATCTAGTAAGAGAGATGTGTGAAAAAATAAATACAATACAGGGCACTTACAGAAGTATGTTCTAGGAGTAGATGGCAAATAAGGGAGAGATCTGTCTCAGGAGGAAAACCGCTCAAACTGAACTTGAAGACTTTTGGAAGAATTTGTTAAATAGTCAGATAGGGCCGGGCTCAGTGGCTCAGCCTGTAATCCCACCACTTTGGGAGGCGGAGGCTAGTGGATTGCCTGAACCCATGGGTTCAAGACCAGTCTGAGCAACTTGGCAAGACCTCATCTCTACAATAAAATCAAAAATTAGCCTGGCATAGTAGCATGTACCTGTAGTTCTGGCTACTTGAAAGACTGAGGCGGAAAGATTGCCAGAGCCCAGCAGTTCGATGCTGGGATAGCCGTGAATGTGCCCTGCACTCCAGCCTGGGCGATGGAGTGAGACTCCAACTCAAAAAAAAAAAGAAAAAAATATTGTCAGATAGTTAAGTCAAAAGAAGAATATCCTAGTTAGATTCCGTGGCTAAAATTTTGACTTGTGATTAAAGTTTTCCAGAACAGAGAGTGTAGTAACTGTGTGTTCTCCTACAACTCATGGGGGCCTGAACAGCATTGAGGCCTGGCAACAGCCCAGACAGAATGGTGAACAAATCTTCAAGTACTGCTGTTGATAGTTTGGAGATTTGGAATGCTTGATCTAATTTTAAGTTTTAATTCTGCAACTGACTTATTGTTAGCTTGGTTTAAACAGAGTATAAGTTTATAAAATTTTTGTCCTGAAGCAGTTTGCTCATATGTACAAAAGCAGTAGGTACAGCTAAACCATAGAAAAGGAGACCTCCAAACTTTCTGACCTTTTAGAAACTTATTGGGGTGCCTGGGAAAGTATTCATTTCAAGGATAAATTTACTCAGAACTGGGATCTACTCAGTTAATCAAATTTCACAGATTGTGATTACTTGGATTATATATAGCGAACCAGAATGGCAGAGTATTTTTTCATCCCTTGTGTTTTTCAGTATGTTTTTCCAGGATGAATGAGTGTGTGCCAGATAGAAGCGGGACTAACTGTGTTCCCTTCTTTCTGTTCTGTGTGCCTGTTTTTTGTGTGTGTTTTATGTTTTGTTTTCTTAAAGTTACAGTCCCTGTTTCAGGCATGATCACCATCCCAGCAGCCAGTTTGGCAGGAGCACAGATTGTTCAGACAGGAGCCAATACCAACACAACCAGCAGTGGACAAGGCACTGTCACTGTAACACTACCAGTTGCAGGCAACGTGGTCAATTCAGGAGGGATGGTCATGGTAAGAAAATTTATTCTTCAGCTCACTGTTCTCATATAGTGTAGTTTTTCATATATCTCTTTGTCTTTGAAATTTTATCGAATCTTCAACTTGGTGTCTTTCATAAAACTAGTCTATAATGTTGACCTCTTGGAATTGAGATTGATACTTATGGTACTTACAGTGACCTGCTTTTGCAATAACATTATGACAAATAATAATTCATTCAGAGCACCTGCTATATGCCAGGGACTATTGTAGATGCTGGAGACATAGCCATAGATAAACAGGTGTAACTATCTGATTTTATGCAGTTCTATTCAGAACTTAAATTGTGAAGAGAGGAATAGGTTACTCATTTTGGGGAAGTGGAAAATATATTGCCTGTAGTGGATGAAACAAAAAATAAACTAAAAATTAAAAAGATTATAATTAATAAAGGAACCAAAAAATGTGTGATATAAATATATTGAGAAAATAGGGAAAGTGAATTGGGTACTGTGGGTGAAAGCTAAATCCTCAGATGTTAAAATAGGACATTAGAACACAGGACCTAAGATGGATAAATTAAGAACGAGTAGTAGAAGTCTGCACAGAGATGGAGGATCAATACAAATCAGAAGAATCAATACAAAGCCAGGTGCGGTGGCACACACCTATAGTCTCAGCTACTCAGAGGCTAAGGTTGGGAGGATGACTTTTGCTCAAGAGTTAAGCAACATAGAAAGACCCTGTCTCTAAGAATATTTTTAGAAAAATAAACGTTTTTTAAAGGGACCAATACAGTCATTAAAAGTAATTATAGACCAGACTTGCTGGCTCAGCCAGTAATCCCAGCACTTTGGGAGGCTGAGGCAAGTGGATTGCCCAAGCCCACAGGTTCAAGACCAGCCCAGGCAACTTGGCGAGACCTCGTCTCTACAATAAGACAAAAATTAGCTGGGCACAGTTAGCACACACCTGTAGTTCCAGCTGCTTGGAAAGCTGAGGTGGAAGGATCGCCAGAACCCAGCAGGTTGATGCTGGGGTGGCCATGAATGTGCCACTCACTGCACTCCAGCCTGGGCAATGGAGTGAGATACCAACTCAAAAAAAAAAAAAGAAAAAAGTAGTTGTAGTTGGAATAGGGTGTTACTTGTTTCCTCATACATATCGTACAATGTTTTATTTGTATTTATTTAGAAAAATTAAGATTGAATTATGTTATAAATTAACTGTTAAATTATTTGTATAGCTATAGGCATTTAGTAACACTTGGTCAATCTATACCTACTATCTTTTGTGCTGTTTTGTTGTCTTATAACTACTTCTCCTGATCATTAGATGGCAGCAGACATATCTAGGAAATAGAACCCTGGGTGGACATGAATTTGTGGATGGTTATATAGTTTCTCAGAATGGCTCCTGAGCCCTCTATGACATAGTCATCTGGGATGCTTGTTTAAAGTACAGACCTTTCATATAAATGTTCTAGGAATCTACATTTAATGAACTATTCTATAAAAGTTATTTTTTGTGGCATTCAGAAGACACAGGTTAATAGGAGCCAAGCAACTGTTTTGTTTGTCTTTACTTCATACAACTAATAAGCTCTGGTTTCCTATTCACACAGATGGTGCCTGGGGCTGGCTCTGTGCCTGCTATCCAAAGAATCCCTCTTCCTGGTGCAGAGATGCTTGAAGAAGAGCCTCTCTATGTGAATGCCAAACAGTACCACCGTATTCTTAAGAGGAGGCAAGCCCGAGCTAAACTAGAGGCAGAAGGGAAAATTCCAAAGGAAAGAAGGGTATGTACAACATTGGGAAGGCATAGAAAAAGAACATGAGGATTCTACTTTTGAAATTATCTTTTAAATAGTTTTCTTGAGTACCTTCCAAACAACTGAAGTTAGATAGCTGTTAGCTTTTATAAAAAAGTTAGTGTTTGTTATTACTATATGCAGTTTCAATTTTAGCAACAAAAACAGTGACTTAAACAAGATTTTTTTCTTTTTCTTACATAAAAGGAGTCCAGATATAAATTATCCTGGACTGGTGGCACATCCATTGTTCTCAAGACCTATTTTCTTCCTGTTCACTGCTCGAATATTCTTAGTGTGTTACTCATACTCCAAGATGACTGGCTGCATGAGCTCCAGCCTAGGAACGATGAGAACAGAAATGGAGGGCATATATTGGGAGGTGTTAATAGTAACTTCTTACACTTGTTTTAAAAAATTCATTTAGCTTACACATTCTTCACAATAGTTATATATAGTTAGCTATCTGCTATCTCATTAACTTACTAGGTAAGTGTTTTCTGCAAAGTTCTCTTCATCATTCAAAGTCACAATTGTTCCTTGTGGCTTTCATTCCAGCTGTCTTAAACTTTTGAGGAAGGAATTTATGCACAACATAACTATGTGGGTTCTGACTAGTAGTTAAGTGGTTTTATTTCTCTTGTTTCAGAAATATCTACATGAGTCTCGGCATCGACATGCCATGGCACGGAAGCGTGGTGAAGGTGGACGATTTTTCTCTCCAAAGGAAAAGGATAGTCCCCATATGCAGGTAAGAAGAAGAAGACTTATATCTTTTAATCTTCTCATTACTACCTTTCATTTTCTTGGGTTGAAGTCTTTGGCAGTGTCCTCTTATTATTTTCACACTGAGAAACTGAATCAAATTCTCTAAACTGAATGCAACACTGTGCCTCTTTAGATTAACTTGGGTCTTAAAAAACACCAAAGGTTTTTAATCCAGTTGTCTTTCTTTCCTCTTCATCTTTGCAATTAATTTTATAAATTCCTACTTGAAAAAAATCTCAATTTTCTTATTAGCTTTCAAGGAACAGATTTTATTTTCTTAGTGTAATATAACAGCAGTGGCAGCTAACACTTATTATGTGATAGACATTATGTTAAAACACTTTTATAAGCTTTTTTTTTTTATTGAAGAAGTCCTCTTAGTTTTATCTCTGAAATACAATTTGAATTGGTTTACTTTTTTCCCTCTCAACTGATGTCCACCTGGTCCAATCCTCTCTTCTTGGGCTTGAATTCATAAAGACCATTCTAAATGGTCTCCCGTCCATCCTCCATCTTCTCCCCCTCTGGTCTATTCTCTACATCTTAATGTGGTCTTTTAAAAATGTATGTCCTATCACATTATCGTTCTGCTCAAACTTGCTCAATATGTTCTTGGACTGAAAGGCAAAGTGGTTATCATGACCAGCAAGGCCTTGCATGCTCCAGCTCCTGTCTGCCTCTGGCTTCATTTCCTCCTGCAGGTCTCTATGAGCTTGCTCATTGTTTACTGGTCTGTTTCCTGTTATGGGCCTTTGTCCTTAAATTTTCAGTCTGAAAAGCTATCCCTAAACCAGAGTAGGTTTCTTCTATCTCAGTGTTTTCTTACAACATCTTCCTTTTCTTTAGTGTGTAATAATAGTTAATTGTTTTATTTGTTTAGTTGCTTGAGGTTGTTTCCTTTAACTAGACTGTAAGTTCTATAGAGGGCAGAGGATTGTTTTGTTTTCTGTTGTAGTTATTGGACTTAATTCTGACTTCGTTCTATTTAAGTTGTATATAAGTAGTGACTAGTTGTATTTAATGGATTTAGTGTCCAGTTCTGAATTGACACTTGAATTGATGGATTCCTTTTATTTATTGATTCTTCATTCTGGATGAACATCACATTCCCCATACTATTACAGTATCTTCTAAATGTATTATCTCCAGTCTCCTCTAATTGACCTTATACAGTACTGCCACATCAGTCTTCCTAAGGTAATGTGTTTTTATCCTGTCAGTAGGCCTGCTCAAAGATGTATGCTAGTTCCTCATTTCTTAACTGCATCTTATCTCAGACTATTTCTGTATAATATCCAAGCAACTTTGCCTTCTTACCCTCTCAACAATCAAACTAGGTTTCCTCAGTGTCCACACATGAACAGTAACGCTTTCAGTACTGTTAGTCCTCACCTGTAGTATGAGAACCCTTTCTTTATCATTGTGTTCATTCATGCCGTGTGTGAATGTGGGCTGCCAGCTGTAGAACCGCATTGTACCGGGAACTCTTCCAATTCTGTGTGCTAACAATGTGATCTTAGTCAATTTACTTAGCCTTTTCTAGGCTTTATCTGTAAAGTAGAATACTTTTAAATATTTCATAGGAATGTTGTGGCGATTTCTTGTAGTAATCCACATTAGGCATCTACTTGGCACCATACCTAGTACATGGTGAGTTCAGTAAAAGGCAGTTATTGTTTTTGCTCATTGTTCAAGACCCAGCTCTGGTCCTTCCATCTCTAGAAGTCTTTGAGCTTTTTCTCAGGTCTTGCCTACTGAGGCTTCAAAGCCTTGGTATGGAGGCACTAAAGGTAGTTCTTATAGAGTGTTGCAAAAAACCTCCAAAGACTGGTCCTTGTATGAACACTGCAAGTCTTAAGTGAGAAGTAGCACATGGAGTTTAATGGAAAGAAGATTAAATGGGAGTCGGGAGATTTGGGATCCAGGCTTTGCTGGGCTCCTGGCTAATATTCTGACTCTAGTTCATGCATATCAATTTACCCATCTGGCCTTCAGACGTATCTAAAAAGTGAGTATCTAAAAATTGTATAGATTCTAATGTTCTTTCCAGCCCTGCTAAGTACTCAGTATTTAAATGTGATGATAAGAAAATAATGACAAAAAAATACAGCATGACATGCTTTCTCTAGGTCTTTTCCTTAGCCATTGAATACCCTTAACCCTTAAGAGTAGAGCAAAAAACAAGGTGCTTAGGAAGGAGCCAACTCTGGAGTGTTTGGCAATGGCGTGCCAGGTCAGGCTTTAAATCCTTTTAAGAATAAGGTTTTTGTCTCTTCTTTCCTAATGGGGCTGCACTTGAAGCCATGTATGTAGACTTACATGCATTATAGGCCTTTGGTTTACTTGATAAAGTTTTGTGCATTCCCCTGAGGATAAGTAGTAAGAGCCATGAATTCCCTGTTGCTTTTGCAAAGGACTTTAATCATTATTATGCTCTCTTTGTCTCTAGGATCCAAACCAAGCCGATGAAGAAGCTATGACACAGATCATCCGAGTGTCCTAACCCCAGGCCACGTGATGGAGCTGATAAATCAGGTCATGTTTCTCGCCATTGTTTCCCACTGTTCCAGGAAATTGATCAACTCTTCCAATGGGACACTGACGATCACACTCTGCCCTTTTCTACAAGACAGAAACCACTTAGTTTTTAATAAGTGGCACAGTATTATAATTGCAGTGATATCTGGCAAATTGAAGTTGCAAGCCTTTGTCTTACTCTTTGAGTCAGGACCTGTTTCAGACTGTTGATGACGTTGACATTTCATGGATTAGGATGATGCAAAGAATTACATGCCAGCCCAGCAGCACACAACACTGGTGAAGCCAGCCAGCCATCTCAGCAGGGAAGAGCAACCTTCTCAACCTAAACTGCAGTCAGGGATGCCGCAGCCTACTGCTTCCCATGGAACCTAGACAGCATCTATCCCTCTGGTGGGAGATTTCAGGCTGACTAACTGAATGGGCACTTTGTATTCAGAGATGGCTTCCAGGCAAGGAATTTCCGTCTTGTGATATAGAAACAATAAATTCCGGAGATGAATTCATCTAATCTGTGGTAATAATAAGAATTTATGTCTGACCAGATGGTAGGTTGATATTATTGAAGTCCATCCAAGTTAAAGCTAATTCTGGGGATAGAATGATAAAAGACTCAAGCACTGAAAACATACATTGCTGAATCTTTTTTTTTTTTTTTTAAGCTTTGAAAAATTGTGGTCTGCTTGTCCCTCTGTTAACAGGTCATCTGGGCCATAGTTCTTGATGTAGCTACTTCTTTTTTTTTTTTTTTCCCTGTGATGTGGTCATGTGCTCTTTGAGCTATGGCCAAGCCGATGTAGCTACTTCTAAGACAATATAGAAGGTATTGGACCTTGAAACTGTCTTTCCTAAGTAGAGAACAAAACTGTTCAACAACTTCTATTATGGAGCACTGAAGACATTTGTAGTAACTACTACAATGGAGAGCCAAAGTAGAGATTTTCAATCATAGACTTTGTGATAGCATTTGGGAAATTGAAGGGTTCATATGTTTCAGCCTAGGAGGAGAGAGAGAGTAGTATGTACATTCGCATGTTGTCATAAAGAATGATTCTCCAGTCAGTGGATGCCTGGGATGGATCATTAAGATGAAGAGACTAATTCACATTTACATTAAAACTTTTAATAAGCACTGAAAGGGAGAGAAGTCTGAGATTTGGTCCTTGAGAATTTCTGGAAAGCACTGTTCAGTCATGCTGTCCTGGACATAGTCCAGGTTATCTGCTAGAGCTTGAGGTGGATGTTGGCTTCACAACTGCAGCACACTGTGCTGGCACCAGAAAGGCATTCTTATTCATCCCATGGCAGCTGGTTCTTTGGTACCAGTTTTCATTTGTCTTCTCCACAGGCCTTGTGCAGAAAGGTTTGCACGTTGCGTCCATACTGTGGGATTAAACTGCAGACTATAAGTAGGGTTGCCTGCAGGGTCGGGTACTGGGCCATGGTTCCCAAAATGGGTTGTGGCCTCAGAAGTCTGTTTTCTAGATGTCGAACCCTGGAAAACTAAGATCATATTTCAGAAAAGCTGAATGCCTTCTCTAGAAACAAGGAAAACCCAATACTGAAGAATACTTGGGTTTGATTTTAATACCAAGGGTAGATGTTAACTCTTCATTGACTTCAATCTAATGGTGTTACGATAGAAAAGAAAGTAAACCCTCTAAAGAAAACATCACACAGGGAGATTATTATAATGGCAGAAGTACAGAGCTATGCAACGGAAACGGGAAGTGAAAACTTCCTAGTCCCCGGAATCTAGTAGTCTGCCTTGGCTTCCAGATGTTGAAAGGGCTGATCCTTTAGTACGCTCACTAGATTCTGACTCTTTTTACAAGAGTTTCAGATATCAGCTTTATTCAGTAAGACCCAAGTTTTTCCGATGATAGATTACTAAAAACAGGGAATTTATATTCCTTGGGTAGTTTAGGAATCTAAGACACGGGATTCACAAAGAAATTACTCAGACCTAAGTTTTAGTAGTTGAGCCACCAACAGTTCTAAAATGCTATTTATTTGCGTATGTAAGTTTGTACATAGTAATGTCAATCTCATTGTTGCTGATTTTATTTCGGGAGGGGTTTGAATTTTGTTTGAAATGAAATGCTTCATTTATTATTTTGTCATTGCATTTCAAATAGCTCATGACCCTTTTATTGTGATCATTTTAGCATACTACAATAGTCCACAAGGTGGAGGCAAGATACTGGTTTTTGAGTTTTTCCTTTGTTACTAGTTCTTTCACTCATTTTTCTTTTGACTGTGGAGATGTCTTCACAGATGCAGAGTGAATGGATGAATAATTGGTTTAATGCCTAGTTATGTCACTTCTTGAGTGCTTGTTTTTGCAGGATAATTGTATATATTTTAATTGCACTGGTACATTAAACATGTCAGTGTCTATACCACTGGACCAACAGAGGATTTTCCAGCTATAGGGTGCCTGATAATAATGTCTTGATTTTTCTTTGGGACTTAACTATATAGAAAGTTTTTCTCCCAGCAGTAGGGGGAATACAGGTGATCGATCATTGATGTCATTGCAATTGTTATTTTTTAAAATAAATTTATAAAAATACTAAAAAAGTGATTTGACTTTTGAATCAAACCTGTGTGTTCTAGGTTGTGTTTATAGTGTTGAAATTGTGATCTCTAGACAGTCATGTGTTGTCTGGACAGTGTCAAATTTGCAGTGCCTGGGCCTCTTAGCTTTATTTCCCCTTAATCTCTTCCCTTTTGGCCTCTCCATTCTGCTGTCACAGGGCTGATCATATATTTGATGTTATTACTGGATGTGTTCATCAGAATGTGACATGAGCAAATGGTCGTTTCCTTATCAAAACGACCATGATTTTAGATTTTATTTCTGCAGAAAACCAAAAGTACTTCTAATTGTTAAAAATCCATAGCGTGCTCATCCTGATGGCTGTTTTATGGTCTTCAGGAATCTAAGCAACCAAGACTGGCAGCCTACAATGTGCCATTATCACACAAGAGACAGCCACAGAGGAGTACTCAGAGCAATAGACCTGTCCTAGCAAATAAAGAAGAAAAAAAAATTCTCCATAACAGTTAAGGAAAAGGACTGACAGTGTTATTTAGCCTGTGTTTAAAATTTTTTTTAAAAAGTTGCTTTAGTCAGATTTATGCCAATGGAACCTGCCCTTACCACATTCATAGATAACTTAAGATTCTACTCCGATATATAAAAAAAGACACCTCTTGATATTTATCTCATATGATCGGCTTAACCCTAGAAGCGTTTTACCTCTGTTTCAAGGAGATTAAAAATGACATCTTCACTGATTTGAAAGCGCCACCTGCTCCACCTCCCGCGCCCCCATCCCCCCGGAAGTCAACCGAGCTAAGGTGGTGGCCTGTTTCCAGTTTGTAGACTGGCCGGGCGCCGCCGCCATGGCGACCAGCTAGCAGGAAGTGCCCTCCCTTCCCTGCCCCTGCCATCCACCCGGTGGAGGCTCCTGTGGCGGCGCTGCTTCTCAACTGCTGATATTCCGGAAATCCCGGAACTGCGAACACGAGGTCGCCGCAGCCCAGAGCGCCCTCCTAGGTGTCCTCGTGACGGGTGAAGGCGAGAGGCGGCACTTATGACCTGTCCTGTAAGGCTTGCTTTCACCTAGAACAGCGGCCTTCACAGGAACTTTAAGGGTCTCCATTTTAGGAACAGGAATACACCTTGGGGGATGAACAGGCTTCGTTCTTGGGCTCACTTCAAAGATTTTGAAATTAAGACCCAGAGAGGGGAAAGTATCTTTACAGGACCACACGGCAGACTTTGGACCCAAGTTTTCTCTCAACCCTGAGCATGTTCCATCAAGCCTTCTACTCTGTCTAGTTTATTTCAATGAATCTATTCTGTGGGCCCCAAAGTATGTGCCTGCCATTTATCTAGGCGTTAGCGATCTAGCAGCTGCTTTGAGAGTCGTTCATTTAGCACACATTATGAGTTTATGCTATGTGTCATGGATATGAAGATGAGAAATATGAAGGTGACTGTCCTCACCGTCTGAGTTCTCCATAAAGCTTAAACCCATCCCCTCCTCAGTGGTCTCTCTCCCATACACGAGGGGAAATCCTATGGTTTCCCTTGGCCTAAGAGGATAGAGAGAGAAAGAGATCTGGTTTCAGCTGAAAAGGACACTTGTAGGTGAATCTTCACCACCTGCAGCTGCTGGAAACGGAGATTCCTGGTCCTCTGGATTCCCAGAGGCAGCGGCTGCCAAGCCTGGCCTTGAAGAGTTTCTAGGTAGCACCATGCTGATGGGTAAAGGAATTGCTCCGCTGGAAGGGATCTCTTTTCTTTACACTAGCCAGATGTGTGGAGGTAAAAGGACCTAAAAGATTAGAATTTGTGGCTAACATGGTAACTTTTGCTCTGTTGGTCAGGATGTACAGCATTAATGGACAACTTAAGCCCTACCTGCAGGTGGGAAAATGACAGGGACAAACCGGCCCACATCTTCATTTACCACTTAAGTGACATTGTGGAGTGTGAGTGGTCATTGTGGGGAACAAGGAGGTGTGCTGGGCTCCTGAGGATTTGTAAGAGAAAGGAATGTGGAGTACTTTAAAACAGGTACTAAAAGGTTATTCCTTTAGCGTTACTCCTAGATTTCATCACATTGGCACTGAAGCTAGATCTTTGCCTGTATCTGACATTCTACCCAGTCTCACATTCTGTTAACTCAGTGTTCAGAATGGGGGAAGGACTCATTTTAATTTTTACTTTGCACTTTGTATTTCATTTCAAAATAAAATATTACTCAGAACGGCACTTCTAACAATGATGTGCCTCATGTGTGTATATCAGATATAATTTACAAAACAGCTTTCCATTCTGTTACTCTCTTTTAATCCTGTGAGGTAGGGATAGATGTTTTCTCTGTTCTCTACTATATATTAAGCTTTTGGATTTTTTTTTTTAAGTCAGAGTCTCACTCTGCTGACCAGGCTGGAGTGCAGTAGCATGCTCACAGCCACCACAGCCTCAACTTGCTGGGCTCAGGCCATTCTTCTATCTCAGCCTCCTGAGTAGCTAGGACTACAGGCGCATACTATCACACCCAGCTAATTTTTTGATTTACTGTAGAGATGAGGTCTCACCTGCCCAGGCGGGTCTCGAACCCACGGGCTCAGGCAATTCACTCACCTCAGCCTCCCAAAGGCACGGGATTACAGGCTGAGCCACCGAGCCCGGCCGGATATTTTCTTAATACTCAGTATCTGGGAGGGGGGAACTCCATATTTGCACTGTAATAGATGCAGGGGGCCAAAAACCCGCTCTTGAGCTTTTTGGTTAGGCCTAACCAAGGGAAATGACTCTGACCCTATACCTTATAGTGCTTATGTAACATTCTCAACCTTACTGACTGCACTACACAGTTCTGTCCATCATTCTGAGATTCACCAGAATAATTACTTTGTGGCATCTCCTTTAAGAATTTGATTATTTGACTCACCCTTACCCCTGAGGAACAAGTACAAAAGGTCTTT